AAAAAAAAAAATACAAGTAAATTTTCATGATCTTGGGTTAGACAATAGTTTTTTACTATGATATCAAAAGCATAAGCGACAAAAGAAAAAAATAGATAAACTAAACTTGATCAGAATTAACACTTCTGTGCATCAAAAGATACCTTCAAGAAAATGAGAAAAAAACCCACAGAATGGGAAAAAAAAATGGGAAATCATTATCTAACAAGGGACTTTTATCCAGTATACATAGAGAATACTTACAAGTCAACAATAAAAAGACAAGTAACCCTATTAAAAAATAAGCAAAGCATTTAAATAGACATTTCTCCAAAGAAGATATATAAGTAGCCAATAAGCACAAGAAAAAATTCTGAACATCATTAGTCTTAGGGAAATGCAAATCAAAATCACAAGAGATACCATTTCACACACACTAGGATGGCTACAATAAAAGGGAACATAAATGTTGGGGAAGATATGGAGAAAGTAGAACCTCCATACATTGTTGGAGGAAAGGTAAAATGGTGCAGCCATTTTGAAAAACATTTTGACAGTTCATCAAAATGCTGAACAGAGTTACCATGTAGCCCAGCAATTCTGCTCCTAGATATGGAGAAAACATATGTCAACACTAAAACTTTTACACAAATATGTATAGCAGCATTATTCATAGAAGCCAAAAAGGAGAAATAACCTAAGTGTCCATCAACTTAAAAAGGGATAAATAAGTGTGGTATACCCATACAAAAGAATATTATTCAGGCATAAAAAGGAATGAAGCACAGATACATGCTCAACATGGGTGAACCTTGAAAATATTATGCCATGAAAGAAGCCAGTCACAAGAGGTCATATACTGTACACTTACATATATGTAAAATGTCCAAAATAGTAAAATCCATATATACACAAAAAGTAGATTAGAGGTAGCCTGGGACTAGGGCAGGGAAGGAGCTGGAAAAGCATGTTATCAGTCTAGCTCCCTTTTTCCCACTTCTTTTAGTAATAGAATTCTTCTGCTGAATTGGACCTATTCCATGGGTCTGTTCACATGGAGGACCCATTCACATGGTTCAAGTGCAGCTGACCCTGCCCTCCACAATCCCCACTCCTCCAGGACCATTTCCACCAAAATGGTGGCCCTGAGTGATTTCAGCTCCTACATATCTGGATGCAGTAACTGGCTAAGAGATAAACATCTGATGAAAGCTAGGCCAATCAGGTAAAGTATTAAGGGAAACTCCTTCTGGTTGCTAGAGTGGGAAAATGAGTCTCAGCTGCCTGGGGCCATCTTACTCACCATGTGGAGAAAGCCAAGAAAAAGACTGAAGGAAAAAGCAGAGCCCAAAGAGACAGTACTCAGACAACATAGTCATGTGTCACATAATGACATTTTGGTCTATGACGAACCACTTATAATAACAGTTGGAACAATAGGCTATACCATATAGCCTAAGTGTGTGGGAGGATTAGGCTATACCGTATAACATCTAGGTTTGTATAAGTATGCTCTATGATGTTTGCACACAACAAAATCGCCTGACAACACATTTCTCAGAATGTGTCCCCATCATTAAGCAACACATGACCATAATCTGAGTCCTCTGGATCCAACTTACCGAAAGCTACCATATATATGGAATTCCTGGTAACATAACTAATACCTTTCCTACTTTTTTGCTTAAGTTAGTAAATTAGGTTTTTGCCTCTTATGATCAAGCATCTTAACTAACATATAATTAAAATCCCAAACAAAACCAAATTCTAAATTTAATAAAAATACATAAAATTAATAGATAAAATAATATATTAAGCAAGGTAGACAACCCTGAAAGTGACTATAATATATATGTAATTCAGTTTATAATCAAAGAAACATCATAAATTAACAAAAAATAAATTAATTATTCAATAATAATCAGTATTGGAAAAATTAAGTTATTTGAAAAAATAAAATAGAGCCTCACTTCACATTCCTCAAAACTAATTGCCCAAAATAGGCCAAATGAAGAAAAGACACCAATACATACCTAGATTATTTTCCAGCCACTGATGTCCTTCAATTAGTTGATCAATTAAGGCAAAATAATGTGAAGTAGCTTCATCAGGCATAACCCAGCCACCTGTCACAATTTCCAATTGACCATTTCCTAGTAAACTGGAGAGAAAATAATAAGAGTTTATATTAACAAATACAAGAAAAGTTCAAATAAAAAACTAAAAAAAGCATAAACATTTAAGAATAGCCTTTAAATATAACCAGTGTTTACACTAGTTGTTAGAAAAAAACTTTCTCAATCCAGTGAATGAATTTCAACTTCAAAGCCCTGGTGACAAAGCACTTAGTAAAGTGTCTTAGGTGACCCCTCCTTCCCCAGGCAAAGCCATGTGGTCACTTTGTAGGTTTCCTGTCACAGGAGATAATCTCCCACACATCCTCAAAGATTCTTAATGCCAGGAGCCACATCTGACTTATTTCTGAGTCTTGCAGGGCACTAGCAAAGTGCTTTACTCATAGTAGAGTCTTGATGAGTATTTACTGAAGAGATGTAATTTTAAGCACGGTGTTTATTTCAATATACCTATATCAAAAAATCAATATTTACTTTAGTCCTTGTTAACACTAATAAGTTAATCTTGTATATCACCCAAAATATAATAATAATAAAAGTAAAGCTACTAAATATCACATGATTCTGAGGATACAAAAAACATTATACAGCACTTTGCTCCAGATTCTGTTAAAATGTAGGCTTTATAGATTATTTTTCATTACTGAATAAAAAGCTCTAACATCATTTGCATATTAGGAACTCCTCTGCCATAATAGCATACAAAAAAACCCCAAAGTAACAAGATCCCCAGCTCTAGTAGAATTGAATTGTTATAAGAAGATACCTTCCCCTGAGAAGGAAAAAAAAA